GACACACATAATACTGAATACCTATCATAACTAAAAAAAGGAATGCAATAGAAGATAATATTATTGTAAGGTAGTACACTAACCTCTGGATGAACCTGGATGTTCCACGCTGTCCTGAAGTCCCACATTGTCCTGGCATCCAATGGTGGGCACGGGTTGATCTATATTAACCAAATTATATAACATTGTATATACATTAAATGTTGGAGGTCTTCTCATTTACATGTAGTGTATAAATGTTATGTTTATATATTATTTGATCATATGTATATGTATAGAGATCAAAAACTTAGGTTCTTCTTCTTCTTCAATTTCCATCCTGTGGCTTTACAAATGCAACAGGTGCTAATTAATATTAATAGAATTTATTAAATATTTTCATTAAAAATTTGTTAAATATACTTTAAAATTATTTACCGTCTTTATCGTCCATGTCTTTAGTAAAATCGTTGAATTCCATCCAATCGTTCCAATCGTTGAATTATCGATCGCGTTCGATCGTGCGGTTAGCTTCGAAACAATTGAAAACGTTCGTATGTTTCAGTGACCAAATATGGATATATGGAGTGAGGTAGAGTTCAAATTTTGCCGGGTGCATACACCATAGAATAAACTTACACAGAATATGAACTTAATAGTACGTAAAAGAGTGACACTGGCGCCGTCAAACCCCGGGGGCCCGAATTAAATCGGGCTTCATGGTCACAAGAGTAGAGCTTGGGGGCCCTGCTCTGTAGCCTATTGAATTTGGTGTGTAGTCAGATGTAACATCTACAGATTTTATTGCTAATTCGACGTGATTCGAGCAAAACTCCGAGTTGACTTCAGTGACAGTTGCGGAAAAAGTAGGAAGCTCTGGGACAAGAACAGATAGATCCTTGTCTCTCCAATGATGCTGTGACAGAGAGGGAGATACAACAAATGGAGGAGAGACAAAGACAGAATGATGTCAAACATTTGTAATTTTCCAAACAGTTATTTACATTTTATGAAGCGAGAAAACGACCTTTCCGGCTGATTTTTTGTTTAAACTATTTTTTGTAAAATTCCACTGTGGGCGATACTGCCAGATTTTGCAATGTCGCTATTGAAACATGCTGAAAATACGTTTAAATGCAAGAAATTTCTTTTTTTTTTTTCAATTTTTTCCAAAAAACGTTTAATGAGACGATAGATTTACTTCCCCTGATTACGAAATGCATAATTATTATATGTTTTTTTCATTATTGTGCCTGTGAAACGGGAAAAACTATCTAGCAATTCACCTACTCTCCGTTGGTGGCGTCAGTTTATCTCCTGCACGCCCTTAAGGCAATTAATATTATTTTGGTCGTCCATTAATTCTGCTAAATATGACACGCATTGAGATAATTGGTACGAACCAGTAAATAAAATTTCAAGATCGGGCTCTGTAATTTCAGAAAAATCAAACACTCCGGAAGCTGATAGTTGTTTAAAAAGAATCTTTCGCATATTCTAAATACATTCAGTGTATTAAGTATTCGTTTTCGTTATTAAGGAAGTGTCCACCATTAAGCTCTATCCTAACTGGAGTGTGAACTGCGAGAGAGATGCAAGATGAGTGGTTCCGGTGGTATTATCCTATAGCAAATTTATGTGTGGAGGGAGAACAAACTCCTCTTTGTTTGAATTTCGCGGCACTCTAGAAATTATTTACAGATTAATTATGTACAGATTTGAACTTTATTTTCTTTTTATTTATATATAAAACGATAGAAACATTAATAATAATGACATAATAATGAAATAGTATACATAATTTACATACCATAATTTAGATCATACAATTTGGTACAGAGCTAAATTTTATTATTTGTCACAATTCAATTTATATTGTATTTATCCAATTTTATGCGAAAAAGAATCTGAAAGTAACTCATTCGACAATACTCAGCGATGCTCGAGTAGGTCATGTTACGGCGTACGTTTGTTCCCCCTCTACAAATAAATTTGCTATAGGATAATACCGGAACCACCTATTTTGCATTTCTCTCGGACCTCCGTCGCCTCTATTTCTTCCTGCAAGAGTTCACACTTCAGTTAGGATAGAGCTCAATGGTGTCCAGATATTTTTGAACGGAGGTGTACATAGGAGGACATTTTCTCCATAAGGTAAAATGATGGCTTATTAACAATAGCAATAAACAAAAATGTAAGGCTATCAATCTTCCCTATCTTTCTTTTGTATAACTAAATAAGCTTGAAATGTTTAAATAAAAACAAAAAGTTTCCTTAACGAAGCCTCGGACAACATTTTCGCTAAGGAAAAAGTTGTTTTAAACCACCTTCTGAACCACCCCTTTCAAGGACCTCCAACATTTTTCGGACACACTGTATTTATAATGAAAAACTTACATTTAGAATCATCGAGTCTATCATTTAGACAAATTTCTTCAGTAGACATAAAGGGTACGAATACTTATAGGACTGACTATCTAATTTAAATGTGAGCTTAACAGAGAACCTTGTCGTCATAACACGCAATATTTTATTTTTCAATAAAAATTTAGAAACTTCACAGAAGAACATACTCATATACCAAACGACACAAACATTCAACATTATAAGTCATAATCACCGGGTATAATTTTTTAATTTTCTGTAACTGTAGTTACCAAATCTATAGATTCTGTTAGAGGTAATCCTATTGTTATCAATTTCTTTATGGCCTCGGGTAACATTTGGAAATGGCTCTGAATAAATGTTAAATTTTACTGATTAACTTGGAAAATGGAGATTAACTGCGGCGTGACTCTGTCTGTTTACACATCATATCATCGACTTTGTTTTGTCTCTCACTGTATGTTAATACAGTACTTACCAAATCGAAATTAGAACACGGTGTCGATCGTACCTAATCAATCTTTTAGGCACATCTATCTTATTTATTCTAGCGGACCATTAAATAATCGGATATGCATTTATGCAAAAAATATGCACAATATGCAAAAAATATGCAACATATGCTATATGGAAAATAAAAAATATATTTTTGGAATCATCTAATCATGACATAACTTTCTGTCCAGTTCCCATTCGTCTACCTATTTTCTATAAAAATATGCATTTGTATAAAGATCCGCAGTCTAATTATAACGTTACAACATTCAATAAATCTATCAAGATCTAAAAGAAAAACTACCTCAATAATGATTAAGTCGTAGGGTGGATCCTTGGACGGGTTGCGTACAAACTTCTGTATCCCTGGATCGCCTAAATATTCGCAGGCTGAGTTTCCTAACTCAGAAACAATGGAACTTCCCTGCTGTTGCACTATCGTACTTATCAAGTCGAAAGACATGTTGTTCGTCAAGTTGCTTTGCGGCTTTATCGTGACCAAGTCCGTGTAATTCGGGAAAGGTTTCTTCAATGGCCACTGGCTTATCACGTCCACCTGATGACCCCTTTTGCCGAGATTCTTCATCAGATGTTCGAACATTATGAAGTGGCTCTTCCCATTGAATGCAAATACGCCCAATATTCGATATCCATGGCACGTTGATAATATTGTACAGAGGAAAATGATCGCTAGCAGCTTCATTCTTGATTCTTCCTTAATTTCACTTCACTTTACAGTACGAGTAGATCGATTATTCACGAGTGTACTCGATTGTTATTGTGACACTTAATCTTTGGCAATCGAAGTTCTTCTATTCGATAGAAAAATCGTACAATTTTTAAAATTTCACGATGTTCGTTTTATGCAATTTGATAAAGTCCAGGAGGAGTATAAATTGAAACGTGGCTCTCTGCAGTGAATTCGGAAAGCAGGAAGTTCTCTCTGTTTGTAAGAGCAAATGTCCCACAGTACTGTGGCACTCTATACAAGGTGTCCCAAAAATGTTGGAGGTCCTTGAAAGAGGTGGTTCCGGGGGGGGGGGGGGGGGGATTTGAAACAATTTTTTCCTTAGCGAAAATGTTGTCCGAAGCTTCGTTAAGGAGATATTAAGGGGTCTCCCGAGTTTGTCGCTTGGAAAATGAAGCAAGTTTCGGGATTTTTTTCAAAGTACTTCATCTTACGATTCCAAGTTTTAAGCGTTTATTAAATACCATTCAAACACTTTGTGTCTCCAATGCCAGGCCCGTACAGCACACGTTCCTCTTCCTCGTAGAATTTGTTTAAAGCCATGTTTGCAGTCGTCCGAGCAGTTCGAGCTTCTTTTGACGCTTCGCGATGCCTTTTCTCTCCAAGTAAGATTCTCTTATCGTCTTGAGCATCAGCAAAACTTTTGATTTCTGAGCCAATTATTATTCCCATTGTATTAAAGGTTTTCAAAATTGACTGGTAGCCATCATTAAATATTCCGCTTGCTAGATAAGTTGCTATTTTCACCGTTTTTGCTCCTGAATAGACATGCTTTGGGGCGAAGTGCCAAAGCAAACCGTTAAAACTTTCATTATTGTTCTGTGTATTTCCGCCTAAACATCGCTCTAATAACTCATTTCGTGATAAATCTGTATAAATAGGTTTTATAACCTGCTGTACAAGATCAGTAAGTGGTGGATGGTGAGTATAATTTTTCAGCGTTCCTTCTGCTTCGGCACAGCGCCACGAACACTAGCTGTCGGCTTCGATTGGACAATAATCGTGTTGGGGCGCTGTATCTGTAGAGCATATATGAAAATATGTTGCCCAAATTGCATTCTGCATTTCTTCGACAGAATTTGTATTTCGCGTAATCGCGACTTTTTCCTCCTATTCCTTTATGTTTTTTCTTTTCAGATTTCAAGCGGGATCCCATCCTTTTTTTTTAAGTGTAAGACACATTCTTTAAATGTTAAATGTTTAAATGTTTTGCTGTCACCATCGCCGATGTAACGGGTATACAGGGCTCCATAACGTTCCATCGATCGATCAAACATTTCTTTTATCCCATCTACCTCCATCTTCCCGGCAGATCCTTCATCATTCACCGTACATTGGTCTTGATGCTTCGTTTTCCATTTTTCATACTCGTCCTCGTCGTCAATTTTCTTCTTCCACGTTTCACACATCTTACAATAAGTGTTTTTTACGACTAAATCTATAATTTTATTACTGTATTTCCTAATAAGCGTTGCAACGCCGATTAGGAAAGAAAATCCTCTTTTAGTAGCTCAGAGCGTTGCCAAATTTCCGAATTCAACTATAATACTTTAGGAATATGTTCTTAAGATGTTGAACTCTTAAGAAATGCAATAAAAAAAGAAATCGATTTTTCGAACCCGACAAACTAGGGAGACCCCTTAACGGAAAACCCCGACCAATCAGAGCGCGAGTATCCCGGTGGAGCGGCCGCGGTAGCGTATGAGCGCGGCCGCCTAGCGCGTAGCCTCCACCCCAACGGCATCCTCGCGCTCTGATTAATCAGTGTTTTCCGTTAATATCTCCTCAACGAAGCCTCGGACAACATTTTCGCTACGGAAAAAGTTGTTTCAAATCACCTCCCGAACCACCCCTTTCAAGGACCTCCAATATTTTTGGGACACCCTGTATATCTGATACCTCTGTCTCTGTGCTTTTAGTAATGCATCTTTAAAATACATTAACACAAAAATGATGTAAGGATGCCTTGATAGATAGAGCAGGGTAGGGTAATTCTTTCTCTTTTTAGTTAGGTCTGATTCTCCTATTCTATCTATAATATCTCTATGTTCTTGCTTCTTTAGTCACACTTCACCTTCGTGTTCAAGTTGTTGACTATTCACTAGTCAACGAATTCACTAGTGATTTCTGATTTCATTCGGATAAAAGTTACGTTAACATTATAACCAGCGACGTAAAAAGAAGCTATCGAAGTTACGTAATAATTGAATAAATGTATCGCCGTTAAATGGTTTTATCTAGTATCGTTCAAATAATTTCCGTCATTAGAATGATGTTAATATTCCTCGTCGTTGTTTGTTAAGTATCTTCAATTTATGCAAAGCGGTTTCCTTTCATCGCCAAATGGAACTTATCGAGTTACAATAAAGATAGTGGCGGGTACGTCCATATCTGGTATAACCGTGAGCCGGCGTATCAGCGTATAATATTAATAAGCAAAGGCGTAAGAGGCAAACATAGTAAACGATACATCAAAAGATTCAGGAAAAAATGTACGTTCTTCTTTATATAAACTGCGATTACTTTTAAAATCACGTTATAAACAAATTATTTTTTACAAAATTTGGGGCCAGATTTTATATGCATATAGAAAACCATTAAACTTTTTAAGAAAAAGTTTTCTTTTATTTACGATAGTTTCGGAGATAACCTATTGCAGCTGAAACTCTAGGGGGTCGTTTCACCTCCTAAATACGGAAACGGGCCAAAATAAAAAAAATACGTGTGTCTTATTTTTCGGCCCTTTAAAACATATCCAAGAAACAAAACAATCGGAGTCGGACACCTAAAAACCATTCCTTGTGAGAGTCGAGGTGATCGTGAAAAATTTAAATGCCTACTAATCTGTGAGACAATAATGCGACAACCTAACTTTTTTATTGTTAATTTTTTTTTTTAAACCAGCCAAAATAGCATCCTTCCTAGAAGAGATCAACCAATGAAAAATGGACGACTCCCATTAACCAACACAAAACAAACACATCCTAAAATGGTAAAACATGGGGCGCGCAAGAAGAGGAGGACCCGAACACCGCATCGGCCCAAAGAGGAGCCACGGAGGACGCCTCAACAGGGTGATCTGAGGTGACAACTTGCCGAACACGGGTATTAGTATTAGACTAATACTATTAGAGTAATACTCTTTGGTTAACACCTCAAGATCAGCGGCGGGAGGGGAAAGAGGAAAGGGGGGGGGGAGTTAAGGAACAGAGTCAGGGAAGGGGGTAGGGGGTGGCAAGTGTTCTATTCTTCAGGGATGATCCCGTTTGTAAGTATCTCGTTGAAAATATCTAGTAGAGTTAATTTACATCTGAATGGAAGGTGTTTGATCATGTTATAGTCAATTCCGTCAATTTGTGTTTGGTTCCTATCGAAGTTGAGGATGTCGATGTGATGTCTGTCTAACCTACGATGTTCGTACTCCTGTGAAACTGATGTTATTTTGTGGATTCGGGCGATCTGCATCCCCTCCATGGTTGGAAATACTCGAAAGCAAACGACCGTTTACGACCACCCGCCGGCAGATACTCCAAAGGAATAATATGCGTGACTGTAGTTAATATTAGTTCCTTAATATTCATCCAAGTTTTTATGCTTTTTTCGTTGTATCTTGATAAAAATATATGCATTATATTGGCGGGATTTTTCTGATAAAAATGATATCAAACACGACGCAATTCAGACAATTTTGAATTTCGCTTATGATAAGTAATAGGTATTTTGTTTATAATATTAACACTTGTTCATACTACCCATTGATGAAGGTACAAACAAAACTATTGATGGTACAATCAAGTACAAACGAAATGCTATTATTTTCTATAAAAAAAATGAATTTTTGAAAAGTCGGGTATCAGGTTCACATAGCTACAAAAGTTACCTAGTTTTTTCATAGGTCCTAATTATCTCCTGGCAAGAATTTTACAATCTGTTTCCTATTTTCGAACAGACTTTCTAATCGATTACTGGCTCACAAAATCAAGTATTAATATTATAAAAATATTGCATATTGTAAACGAAACTTAAAGTTGTCTGAATTGCATCGCGTTTGTTGCCATTTTTATCAGGAAAATCTCGCCAATATATTGCATATACTTTCATCAATATACAACAAAAAATATACAAACTTGGATGAGTAATAAGAAAATAATGTTAACTTCGGTCACGCATATTATCCCTTTGAAGTATGTACCTTACCTGCGGGTGGTCATAAAGACTAGCCCCACAGTTGGAAAGAATAGCAATGCCCAAGCTCCGAGAGTTTGAAAAGGGATAATAACGAAGAAAAAAGCGATGTTATTCCCGAACGTGTTCGCCGGATCCACCACCTCGTGAATCGCTGAATTTGGTTCCCGAACACAGTTTTCGCTTAACCCAGCGGGGCTATTTCTCGTCCACACTACGGCGAAAACCGGTGACTAACAGGGTTAGCTACCATGTTCACGAACGATGTACGCGAACCAGCGTTCGCCGCAGTGTGGATCCGGGGTTATAATCTATTCCGTCAAGTCCTGGCGCTGATTTGTGTTTGGTTCATATCGAAGTTGAGAATGTTGATGTGATGTCTGTCTAATATGTCCAAAAGGATCTCTCCATTGTAGTCAGAGTAGTTGCAGTTCCAGGCTAGGTGGTGGGTGTTATAGTATGACGACAAGGCCGCCACCGCGATGGGCCTTAAAGAGGCTCGATCAGGACGCCCTGATGGCGGCAGCCCTAGTCGTGGCCGAACGTCCGGCCGGGCTTGTCAACGGGCAGGTGGAAGCCCAATGGCTCTGGGTCGCTATGACGTCCATTTGTGACACCGCTATGCCCCGGGCCAGGGTCCACCCGAGGAAGGCGGTGTACTGGTGGTCGCGCGACATTGCGGATTTACGCATTGAATGCATACGCGCGCGACGCCAGTACGCCCGCGCCCGTCGGCGACGACGCGTAGATTTGGAAAGGCGTGCCCAGCTGTATAGGGCCTACCGCGAGAAGGTCGTGGCCCTGCAGCTGGCCCTGCAGCTGCCTAGGCGTGGAAGAATCTTCTCGGCTCTCTGAGCAGGGATCCATGGGGGCGCCACTACAAGATGGTGATGGGACGGCTTTGCCCTTGGGCGCCCCCGCTCACGGAGAGCCTAGACTCCCATTTTCTCGGGCGTGTCATGGTCACGCTTTTTCCCCCTGGTGAGGAGGCGAAGTTGAGCGGCCGCCCGATATGGAGGTCACGGATGGGGAGATGACCGCGGTTGTCCGGTGACTCCGAGGCAAGAATACCACCCCGGGGCCGGATGAGATACCCGGTAAAGTCTGGACCTTGGCCCTGGGCGTCCTGTGCGGGAAGGTACAGAAGCTCTTTTCTTCCTGCTTGGAGTCGTGGGTGTTCCCCGGCTATGGAAGAGTGGGCGGATGGTTCTCCTGAAGAAGGAAGGGAAACCTGCGGATTCACCCTCCGCGTACCGGCCGATATGTCTCCTGGACGAGGAGGGGAAGATGCTAGAACGCATCATAGCTTTCCGCCTCTGCAGGCACAGGTCTGGCGACTGGCGCTCGCGAATTGGTGTCTGGAACTGAGCTCCCACGGCGGCGAGCGCGTCGCCATGGCTCTCCTGCCACACCTCAAAAGGTGGCGGGAGAGGCGGCACGAAAGGCTCACCTACCGGGCGACGCAGGTATTCACCGGGCATGGCTGCTTCGGTGTCTACCTGTGTCGCATAGGCAAGGAAGCGGCGGGAGCCTGCCACCACTGTGGCGAGGAGGAGGACTCGGCGCAGCACTCGCTGGAGGAATGTCTCGCTTTTTCAGCGCAGTGTCAAGTCCTACAGGCCCAAATCGGGCATGACCTCTCGCTCCCAGCAGTAGTTGGGGCTATGCTGGAGAGCGGTGGTCTCCTTCTGCAAAGAGGTTATCTCGCAGAAGGAGACCGCAGAGCGGGATCGGCCCCCGGACTAATGATGTCAGCTGGCGGCGGGGACGGTTGTAGACAACCTCTGCCACCGGCTGATCACCGAAATGAATGGTGACGGGAGAGGGGGGACGGCAACTTGAATGCCGATCCCACCTGGTGGACAGAATCTTTCCCCCTCGGGACGTGGCCGGCCATAAGCTACCAGATATCCGGCCTAGGCAAGGGGGAGTCGCGGCAGCGTTCTATAAGAGTTCACGCGGCTCCGCTTGAATCGCCAGTGTTGGTAGAGTGTCCGAAGGTCGCCGTGGAGGTTTTAGTGGGTATAACCCCACACTACCTTCCACCCGCTCCCCCGGGCGGGTGGCAGGTGTCTGTTATCAGATTTCCTTCACGTAAAAAAAAGAAAAAGTGGGTGTTGTAGTCGCCAAGCATAACAAATAGTTCCAGCTGTTTGATTTGGTCTATTTAATGTTTCGAGCTGGTTTGGTTCAAACTGTTCCCTGATGATCTGTAGCAGGGAATGAGGTATATTTTGTCGTCGTGGTTGCAGATTTAGATGCAGCATGTTTCAACATTTGCTTTTTACGATAAGTATTTGGCAATGAATACTATAATTCCACCGCCTCTCCTATTGCTTCTGTCTTTCCTTACTGGAACTGTACTGTACTGTATTGAACTGTAATAACAACTACAATTAACACCTTCCAAAGAAAAATACGTATGCATTTTTAGTATTTCGTGGCCATGCTTGTTTCTTTACTCGTAAATCATAAACGGCTACCCATGTTAAGCTCTTACCATTTTCCATTCTCGTGTAATGACCATCGGAAATAGTTTCCGCGTTTTAAGCCGGGGTAGAGCACCGGTGCACTCCCCGGTGTTCTCCCGGGCTCGTGGCACTCTGGCCGTGTCCACAGTCACACCTGGCCTAAGCAAGGAACTTTGGGCCAGGCGGGAACTCATTACCTCGGCTTCCTGTTTCGACCCCGCGTTTCGGGCGATCCTCGTTTTCTTTTGGACCCGGGCCTATCCTTTCGAGGATGCGCGATACTCTGCTGGGGGTGGTCCATCATTAAGCGGGGCCATTCTACCTATATTTCGGTAATGCCGAAGCGGAGTTAGACGTCGGCCAATCCACATTCCTCAGGACTGCAGTACCAGCCTGCATTGTTCTCCCCTTTACACCATGTATCAAAGTT